AGCGCCGCCATCGCGCCGTCCCTCCACAGCGCCGCCTCCGCCAACCGCGCCCTTTGACGCTCCTAGCGGACGAAGCGCGGGACACGCAGGCGCAATTTCCTAGCGCCTCGAGGCGCCGCAGCTGGGCTGCAGCCCCTCGAGGCGCCAGGAAAATGCACCCGCTCTTCCCGCCTCCAAGTCCTCGAGCGTCGTAGCGAACTTCCCGCGCCCGCTAGAGCGACGCAGGAAAACGATGCCAGCGGCGGCGCCGGCCGCCGCCTCGGGAGCAGCGGCCAAAACCGCCGCCATTGCGAGCGCAGGTTCGGGGATGAGAGGAGCGCTCGCGGTTGGCTGAGTTCGGGGCGTGGCGGGCTGCGCTTGAGGAAGGGGGGCGGGAAGGGATATGTCGAGGACTCCTCGTTCTAAAGGGCTCCTGCATGCCACCGCGAGCCTCGAATCAAGGAGCGATGGGGCGAGGGGGGCGAGGGGGGGGGGCGACAGGAGGGGGGGGGAGATGAAGGGATAAGGGGGCCATGCTCCGCCCACCGCCCTCGAGGCGCCACGTAGACGACATGCTAGATGGCCCGCGGGATGGAGATGGCGAGAGGGGGAAGAGGGGGGGGGGGGTTCGGACAGGCTTGGCAGCTCCGCCATCGAAGAGCGCAGTTTGCGCAAGCTCAACCGTTCGCTGTTCCCTGACGACGCCGACTCGCAGACGGCGCGCCCGCGCCCGAGAGGGCGCATTCGAAAATGTATCGCGCGATTGCGGTCTCGCCGCGTCGCGAAGATGATTCCTCCCCTTCCACCCCCAGGGGGGGGGGGGCATGCAGCGCGCCGTGGCGGTGGCAGGCTGAAGCCGAGCGGCGTCGCTCGACCCCCTTCGGGGGGGCGGTCGCCCCTCGGGGGGGCGGTCGAGCGGAGGAGAGACCATCGTTTCGGAACGAAAGGGCTCCCATGGCCACTGCGAGCCTCGGAGCAACGGAACGGCCCGAAAACCAGAGCCCACCCCCGAGCCCACCGCTGTCCTTATTGCCCCAGCGAAGTATGAGAGGGAAGTGCAGCGGCGGTGGCAGAGGCGCCTCTCCTGTCCCGCATTTTGCTAGGAGGGCGGCGGGCGATTTATTCCCTCCCAGATGGGGTTCGGGGATCGTTTCGGAGGGCCGCGCCGCATCGCCAACGCGTCGGCGATGTCGGCGACGCATCGGCGCCGTCGGCGCTGGTGAAACTTGGCTCCACATCGCGAGTCGCATCGCCGATGCATCCGCGATGCGGCGCGACCCTCCGACCCCATCTCGCGGGCCCCATTTGGAACGCGCGGCGCCAAGTCCAACAATGTTATATATACACGTATGTTTATATACGCATATACTTAAATTTATATATATACTTACATATACATATACATCTATAAATCGCACAGCGCACGCCCCCCAGCCCCCCCCCCCCCCACGCCGCCTTAGACCGCCCCGTCGCGCCCCGGGGCGCCGTCCATGGTGCCATGTGGATAAACTCCCCCCCCCATCCAGAATCGTGAGTTAGCGCAGCGCCTGGCACCTGCTGAGTACGAGCGCTCAGTTCGCCGAGGGCGCTAGCATCTAGATCGACAGCGCTGCGCACCGACCCCCGGCGCCGCGCCAGCTCGCGAGCGCCAGCATGCGGGTCCAAGATTGACGCGCCTAAATGGTCGGCAACCGTCTGAAGAGAAACAGAAGCACCTCTGGTCTGCCATGCAGTACGGCATGTGTCCAGCGTCGTCGCCATCGTCTTGCGATTCTACGCGGGTGGATGTCGTCGCCCCATCGCATCTCGTCGATTTGCTCGTCAATCTGCTGTCGTTTCAAAACCGGAAGGAACGCGCGGAACGCCGCGAAGTCGGAGTAGGCGCAAGACTGGACGGCAAAGAACTGCTGGGGCCTGGGGCACGCCTGCAACGCTCGAGGCAGCACACCTGGCTCTTGGGCTCTGACGGCCCGCGCGGCAGCAAGAGCCCAATAAATATACGCGGGCAAAGACTGGGCACCACGAAGTTCGAGACGACTCAAAACCATTTTAGCGGCAACCTTGATCGCCCCGCGAACCTCCTCGACATTCTCGATGGGGCCCAGGGGCCGTTCCCCGGCGCCCTCGAGCACCTCCTGGAAATCTTCCGGACGCAGTTTGTACGTCGTGAGCCAGGAAGGGGCGCGGTGGTGCCCAGACCGCCCATCAGGAGCCAGAGGCAAGAAAACGGGCTCGTGGTCCGACAGCTGCGCGATGTCAGCAGCACATCCAATCGTTCCAGAAGTTGGCGACATATCCAAGACCAATGCTGTCGGGAGCGACGTGTAGACCCGATCGACAAGGCCCGGGGACGCCACTGTCTTCCCACCATCATAGCCATCCACCCTGCGAGTGAAACTCGGCTGTTCCATCTCAATCAAGAACGGGGCAACGCGCTGGAAATGCTTGCCGAAACTGGCGGCCGGGCACACAAGACGCCCCAACGTCTGACAGCGTCCTTTTCCGCGGGCTGGGAAGCCAATGCCGCCGCGCAACGGCGCGGCGCACTTGCCGCGAGGCAGGAGGGCAGCGCGTGCATTATCGAGTCGTTGCTTGCGACGGCGCACTGGGGGACCTACATCGTCACGAATGTCGGCAATCTGTGAGGCATGCGACGGGTTGAAGAGGACGGCGGAGTGGATGCGACCGCGTGCGATTACAATGCGACGCACGCGTCCGAGGAACTGGCGAATGCGAGGATGGATATAGATGAGGCACCCGCCCGCACGAGGATTCCCAAGAAAAGTAAGAGTGCCCAGGGAGCACATGCATTTCGCGTCCGAGGACTCTGAAACACTCTCATGCACCACGGGCTTCCCGAATACAAACTATGTCATGAGCCTGGATAAATTGCAGAAGCTGTCGAATATTAGCTCGATGCGCGCGTCGTGGTACATGCTGGGCGCCGGAAAGAAATCTCGCATTCCAGGAGACAATTGCAAATCGCTGAAACAGTAGAAACGGCGCGTAGGACTGCGGCAGACCGCCCCCCAATCGTCAGACGGAGAAGGAGAGGGAGAAGAGCTGGCTGACGGCGAAGACGAACGCGAACCACTGCTGGACGTCCAGGATGGCGCCGAGGCAGAACTCGAGCGAGTGGGCGAGGCTGTTGCACGTCGCTTTATAGATCTCCCGGCACAGCGAATTCGTTCGGATGGCGGAGGGGAGGAGGCGATGTCGCTTCCTGCAGCCGCTCGAATGATGGACGCCGCCATCTGAGCACCCTCGCCGCAGCGAGCACCCACATCATCACCACCGTTCTCATCGCTATCGCCCGAAGTCTTGCGCACGCGGCCACGAAATTACTGACATGGCAAGGCCCTTGCCTACAGCAAGAACCCGTCTATGGACTCCTGGATCACCTGATCAGAGAAACCGAGCCGCTTGAGCGCAGGTACATTGGGCTCCACTTCAAGCTGCGGCGCGTCTAACCCCGACACCTTGAACGGCTGTTCGGTCTCATCGTTGACGATCAACCAAAGAACTCCACGGTGTGGCTGTGAGCCGAGCTGGTACGAAGTCTTCCATGAGTTCGTATTCTTGGCCACGCCGCTGACTTTCGACCATAACAAACCCAGGATGCGGTTGCTATTGCGGATGGCAGGCGGGGCGTCTTGGCGGACTTTTGGATGACCTTCGACAAGCGAGCGGGGGTCAGCCCAGGAGGTCCCGGGGGTACGAATTCTGCTGGCGAGATCTTTGGCGGCCTCGCTGGTCGAGAACAGGATACTGTAGGCTGACTGGAAATTGTGAACTTTGATTCCCGCACGTGTATCATTCGGAACGTGGCGGGCTACCAATCCAACTGCGTGAGAACTCAATACTCTGGCCAACATGGGTCTGGGGGAAACCAGCCACCCTCACGTTGCGATTGTCGCTCGCCGGAGCTGCTAAAGACGATCAACAATTCTTGACGCGGTCGATGCAGCTGAAGAAGTAGCTGGGCAAGACTTCATCTCGGTGGTTTCCTGCATCGTACGCGCCGTATGCTCCTTGACTTGCCCAGTCTGCGACTCAATACGGGCATCCAGCTCTGTGCGAACAACATCGGCAGCAGCTTGGTAGCTAGCCTGCGACTGGGACCCGATGGCACGCATGCGGGTGTCCGAGTTTGTGATATGCAGCGAGTGCGTCGTCATACTGGTTTTCATCTCCGGAACATCGTCGCGCGTCGCCATGGTGGTGCACATCTCCCGCAATATCGCCATCAGATCGGGGTCGTTGCTGCCGCCCACTCGAGCGTGCTTGAGCGCGGACTCGCCCTCGTCAGACACGTCGACCACCATCCCCGAGGCGGAAGACATCTGGGCGAGACGGTGAAACTGGAAGGATCGTGGAATCAGAATCAAAGGCCCTATGCCCGAGCTTGAAAGCTAGCTACGGACGGGCCAAAAGCTAATCGCTGATTCTCGGACGTTTATAGTCCTTCACAACGTTTAGCCTTGAGCCAAAATGGCTACGGAGGGAGGAAGGATGAGGAGGAGGAGGAGGAGGAGGAGAAGGAGGAGGAGGAGGAAAAAGGAGGAGGACGGGTCGCCTAAGCCTTTCGGAGAAACCCTCCATCTGGGCCCCCCTAGAAGACCTGGAATCACCCTGGGCCAAGGAGAGACAGAAGGTACCGATACCGCTGCTCCACAGGTCTGTGCAGGGGCGCGTTCTGACCAGCATGTCGCGCCGAATCCAGCCGTGGTGACGAGGGCTCTCCAGGACGAGCAGCGGCATGTGTATCTTTTTCATCCCCCGAACCCTGGGCGCCAGGGCCACACCTCTGGCAACCAGACTCGAACTGATTCCTACCCCTAAGAGCGGCAAGCCAAAAGCGAGGACACTCCTATGGATGTGCCCTCAGAACCTGAGGGGAGCCTTCAATCAGATCAGCACAGAAGTACGTAAGGCGATGCAGAGAAACACAAGGATAGGGATGCGCTTCAAACTGGCAATCTTGATGCACCCCGAAAAAAGGAACGACCACGACCCGTCTCCAGCGGCTGCGAGACCAGCAAGTCGGGCCTCGGCGGGACAGGGAGCGGGGAGAAGGGAGGGAGGAAGAGGGGAGGACCTCCTCATCCTCCTCCTCTGCTTTTTTCTCCTCCTCCTCCTCCTCCACCACCTCCTCATCCTCCTCTTCCTCCTCCTCCTCCTCCTCTTCCTCCTTCTTCTCCTCCTCCTCCCCCTCATCCTCCTCTTCCTCCTCCTCCTCCTCCTCCTCCTCCTCCTCCTCCTCCTCCTCCTCCTCCTCCTCCTCCTCCTCCTCCTCCTCCTCCCCTGCCCCCCCTCCACCCTGGGACCGCGAGCGGTGCACCCGGCCCAGCCAAGACAGCCGGGCGGCGCGGGGGCCGCACGCACAGAGGGGGGAGGGCGTCGCCGCCGTCGAGCGGGGGCCTGGCAGATGTCCGCGTGCTCCGGTTTCGCGGGGAGGGGGGAGGAAGGAGGATACAGTCGGGGCGTTGACCTAAGGAACCCTAAGTAAGGAGCGAGGCCCCTTTTTTCCATAAGTTGAACTTCGATTTCCGATCGAAAGGATAAGGAAAACCTGAGGCAAGCTGTGCAACACCTAAGGAACGCGGAGCCCCTCCCCAACCAAAAGGGTTCCTTCTTCAGGGCCCCCGCTGTAACCCTGTGCGGGCGATAATGAACCCCCTGGGATAATAAAGTTCGGGGTTCTGGCGGGGGTAATACCAGAAGTTCCCGGGGAAGGTATGTTGTGATGATGAGGACGAGGGCGACGATTTTTTGTTGTATGACGATAGGGGCCGCCACCACAAATTCATGGGTTCACGCTCCGGAGGAGTAGACACCTTCGGACCCTCACAAGAGTGTGCGTACACTCTGGATGGAGAACTCGGCTTCTGCATTCATATCGAAGCAGACGCCCGCGATGAGAGGATGTAAGCTCCGGCTCTGAAGAACTGGTCAGGACGCTCTGCCTGGCCCCGACGAAAAGGCTACACACGATCTAACTGCCAGACGGCAATAATCAGCGAGACTGCGCTAATTCACAGGCCCTGTGCCTCGGGTGGGAGCTCGCTGTTGTCGCCAGCGGCCTTCTGCTCCTTCGGCGCACCCAGCTCCCTCGCGGGCATGTTGAACATCGGAAAGCTGCCCAACCTGCCGAGGGCGAAGGAATAGCCCACGCCCACGAAGATCGAGCCTGCGAAGATGTTCCCGAGGGTCACTGGGATGAAATTCCTCCAGAGGCAGTCCCACACGGACACGTCGGCGCCGGCTATCATCCCCAAGGGAATCATGAACATGTTGGCCGGGATATGCTCGAAGCCGATGGCCACGAAGCAGGAGATGGGGAACCAGATGCCCACCATCTTGCCAGGCATGTCCTGCGCTTGGCCCTGCAGGAACACAGCCATACACACCAGCCAGTTGCAGCCGATTCCCTTCAGGAAAGTGACGAAGAAATTCTCCTTGATCTTCTTTTCCGCCACCTTCATCGCAAGCTTGGCAGTCAAGCCCACGTTCAGGTTACAGGCCTCGACAAAGAAAGCGAAGATCACGGCGCCAAGCAGATTACCAATCCAAGCCAGCGCGAACGTCCTAGGGATCTGCTTCCAGTGCAGCTTGCCTTCACACACCGCCGCAGGCACGGTCGCAGCTGTACCTGTGATCAGCACCCCACCTGTGAGTAAGATGAGCAGCAGGTTCACAGGGAAGAGCGCAGCGAATACAAAGGTCTGGATGGTCGGGTTGTCCTCTGCTGCCTTGTCCAAACCGCCAGCCACCACCATTGACAACATGCCACCGAAGCCAATGTAGCAACCCGCGTAGAAGGACTGGTGGAAGATCTTGATGGACGCGTCGCCGCCCATCGACACGCCTTTGTCAATCATGCCCTGGAATGCCTCCTTGGGGGTCTTGACGATCGCCACGACCTCCGGCATGGTCGCGGGCCTTGCTGCGGACAGGAGGCGCCTTGGGCAGTGGCAAGGTGCAGGGCAGGGGCTGCTCCCGCTGGATGCAAGCTCGACGCGAAGCGGCCTTGCGCCAAGCGCCAAAACGACTTGAGCCAAAACGGATACGGAGGAGGATGACGGCGACGATGATGATGATGATGATGATGATGATGATGATGATGATGATGATGATGATGATGATGATGATGATGATGATGATGATGATGATGATGATGATTATGATTGAGGGGGCCCTGAGGCACACAAATAGATACACACAAATAAAAGGATTCCCCACATTTTCCAATATTTTCTGGGCTGTTGTCTTCCCCCTCCCACTTCCCATATTTTCCCATATTTTTTGGGGGGAATCGAGGATTAAGTGTGCCTGTGTGCTTTTTTCCATCCTGAAGGCTGATGTGATCCTGGGCGCTCCGATATTTCGCGGGGAGGGGGGGGGAGAGGGAGGATACAGCAGGGGCCATCCCACCCAGAAGGAGGATACAGGAAACAGTAGGAGGATACAAGAAACAGGACGACCCAGAGGATTCCCAGGGAGGAGGGAGGATACAGTAGGGAGGATACAGGAGGATACAAGAGACACTACACGAGAAGCCCAACCCAGAGACCCCAGGACGTCCATGGATTCCTGGTGCGGGAACGTCGCGCCTTACATAATTAACAGAACCATCCCAAGAAACCCCCAGAGCACCCTGGAGGCAGGCAGGGTGTTGCTTGGCATGGGTCTCCACTGTGCCCAGAGGATCCCAGCGAGGAAGGCGCTCTGAGGGCGACGCGATTGGGCATGGGAGGACGGGGCGGCGCCGAGTCCTGCGATGTCTCATCCTATCGGGGGGGCCACGCTATGACAAGCCTGGTCCTCCTCTCTGCCTCCTCCTCCCCCTCCTCCTCCTTTTCCTCCTGCTCCCCCATCCTCCTCACATTCCTCCTCCTCCTCCGCCTCCTCATCTCTCTTACGTCTCCTCCGCTTCATCCACCCCTTCCTCAACCTCCCCTTCCTCCTCCTCCTCATCCTCGACCTCCCGTTCCGCTTCCTCTCCCGCGTTCCGTTCCTCCTCCTCCTCCTCCTCCTCCTGCTCCTCCTGCTCCTCTCCTTCCTCCTCCTTCTCCTCCTCCTCCTCCTCCTCCTCCCCCTGATTCCTTGTCCTCCTCCTCCTCCTCCTTGTGTTCCTCCTCCCCGTCTCCTGCTCCTCGCATCCTTCATCATCCTCCCCGTCTTCCTGCTCCTGCTCCCCCACCCACCTCCTCCTCCCCTTCCGCCTCCTCCTCCTCCTCCTCCTCCCTCCTCCCCCTCCTCCTCCTTCTCCTCCTCGTCCTCCTCCTCCTCCTCCTCCTCCTGCTCCTCCTCCTCCTCCTCCTGCCGAGGCGCATGCAGAGCTTCCAATTCCTCTTCGGGCTCGCTCGTTCACAAGTAGCAGAGGCAACCTGGATCTGGGCCCCACTGAGCCACTGGCAGGCCGGCCCGCGACCTCGGGTCCTTCTCCATCACTCGCTCGAGCAGCTGCTGCAGCTCGTGAGAATCCGCGATGCCCCCACAGACCGAGCTGGGTCCGTGTGAACACTGGGCACGTGCGAACTAGCCAGGAACCATTACACCGTGGGGGTCCAAGGCGATTCATGTGTGTGTGCGGGTTGCCGCTGCTGCTTCAGAGTGCAGCATAACATACCAAGAATATGCGAAACCTTCGTATCGCAATGTCCTCCGCCTCGCTGATTCCCCCCCCCTTCAGCTCACGTAGCCGAGTTTCCCGGCGCCTCCCGGCGCCGGGAGGCGCCCATGTGTCGAGGAATGGGCCCGGCGGTTGGGCCGAAACCAGCTGCATGCAGCAGATTTCGTAACCCCCCCTTTCCCTATCCCCCCCTGTCGCCCGGCCCGAACAATGGAGGCCAGTCCACAAGGAACCTTCCACGGGAAGCCCAACCCTGAGACCCCAGGACGTCCACTGATGTTTGGTGCGGGGACGTCACGCTGTCCATAGAAAAACCATCGAAACCTGAGAAACCCAGGGCACCCTGGAGGCAAGCAGGGTGTGTCTTGGCCTATGCCTCCACTGTAGACCACGCAGGCTGAGCCACGGTGAAGCAGACATTGCTGGCGGCGCGCGCAGGACGCAGGGGGGTAACTAGGGGGAGGGGCAAAAGGCGTCCGCTGCGCAGGGGTGCTTCTAAGAAGCCTTCCCCCCTCCCCATTCCCCTCTTCTGTACGCGGCCGACATTGAGCCAACGCGCAACTGCGTTTCCAGGTTGTCCCTACTAAACCGAACCAAGGAACACGCCCTTCGGCAATCACCCGTATAGACCAGTGTGCCAGGTCTGAACCATGCCATAAACTTCTCAGGGACTGTATGGTTGACGCCCTGGGCTGGAACGAACACGCGTTTGAGGTCCGAGCTGGCGTAAGCACACCGAGAGACCGAGCCCCTCCCCCGTCACGCCCCGGAACCCCAGAGACACCGGAACCACGACATCGGGAGTCCGAGGCACTGGACCCCGCCCAAGGGGCCCGCTCCTCCCGCTCCTCCGCCTCCTCCTCCTCCTCCTCTTCCTCTTCCTCCACCTCCTCCTTCTGCTCCTCTTCCTTCTGCTCCTCCAACTCCTCCTCCTCCTCCTCCTCCTCCTCCTCCTCCTCCTCCTCCTCCTCCCACTCCTCCTCCTCCTCCTCCGCCTCCTCCGCCATTCCTTCTCCTTACAGAAAACTTCTCCGTGTCGCACCGAGAGGCCAGTTTTTAGGGCTGGGAGTGCGTTTCGCCTGAGACGTCCTCACCATTTACGACTCTGAAGCTTTAAACTTGGCAACAGTTTCACAGATGGAGGGCGGGAGGTTTTCAAAATGTGGCTCTCGCCTTAGCGCAGCGCACATTCCGTTCGCAAAAGTTTAACGGATTGAGGGCGAGTCGTTTTAAAAATGTGGCTCTCGCCTTAGCGCCGCGCACATTCGTTTTAAACAATTGCAGGAGTTTCACGGATTCCCATCATCAACGTACCAGAAATGGTGTTTGGAAGGATTCGGGATTACACGGGTGCAACAGTTACGTTGGTTCTCTGTGCTGAAGTCCTAGGGCTAGTGTTCTGGCACGATTCAAGATCGTCAAGACGCAACAGTCAGGATGACCCGTGGCGTGAGCATACCGAGAACATGTTTTGGCATGCTTCAGGGTCCTCTAACGGGTGTCTTCCAACGAGGCAGCTCCATCAATGGACATGAACCGCTGCATGGGGCCTATATGAAGAGGGAGCTCGGAGGGAGGGTTAACTCCAACATGGGTGATTGACTCCTGGGTTTACACTGGTCCTCCTCCTCCTCGTGTCTCCTCCTCCTCCTCCTCCTCCCCCTCCTCCTCCTCCTCCTCCTCCCCCTCCGCCCCCCCCTCCTCCTCCTCCTCCTCTCCTCCTCCTCCTCCTCCTCCTCCCTCCTCCCTCCTCCTCCTCCTCCTCCTCCTCCTCCTCCTCCTCCTCCTCCTCCTCCTCGCGTCTCCGCCCTCGGGGGGGCAGGGCGACAGGGGCGCCCCTTTTTTTTCTCGGGCAGCGAGGCCCCTCGGGCGAAGGCCGCGCCCCTGCCGCAGGAGGGCCCTCGGCAGGCTGAGGGGGCCTTCCGAGAGGCGCGGCGCCTCTGCGGAGCGCCGCCCGCCTCCCCGTGCCCATCGGGAGCGCCACGCCCGTCTCAAGACATATATCTATATATATACATATATATATATATTAATCACAATTGTATTAATACTAATGATAATACTTGTATTCGTAGTAGTAATAATAATAGTAATAATGCTAATACTAATACTAATAATAATACTAATAATAATAATCATAATGATAATAATAATAATAATAACAATACTAATACTAATAATAATAATCATGATGATAATAATAATAATAATAATAATAATAATAATATCAATAATAATAAAATTAATGATAATAATAATATAGTAATAATCCAAACAATGAGATGGTAGAACAAGCGTCCCCAGACTTTGTTTTGACGATGTTTGAATACTCCTCCTGTAGAGGGGCACGCCCGACTTCACCCTGTCTCAGGGGCTCCTGCTCCCTGGAGGGCCTCTCGGAAGGCAGAGGGGCTTCAGAGCGCCCCCTTGCCCCCCTGGGCGTGCGCTTCTGGAGGCCGCAGGCATGGGGACCGAGCAGATGGGGTCAAAGGACCGCCTCAGACCGACAGCGCATTCACGATGCATCGGTGGTGTCGGCGATGCGTCGGCGCCATCGGCGTGGAGACAATCGGGCTCCACATCGAGCCGCATCGCCCCTCGGCGATGCGGCGCAAGCCTCCGACACTACCTGCTCGGACCCCACTTGGGAGGCCTGGAGCTCCGCCGGCTTCGGGCAACCGCCGATCCTGGACTACGCCAGAAGGAGGTGACCGGTACTCACCGGACCTCTCCCAGGGTGCGCTCGGACCAGAACTTCGAGGCGAAGCCAGCCATGGCGACGAGGGCCTCTTACCAGGCCCCAGAAAGCTAAAACGAGGTACGCAGCGGCGTCGGTGACTCTTCCGGTGATATCTGCGGCGCGAGAATCCTCGACCCGACCTGCTCGGACTGCCCTTGGGAGGCCCGGAGCCTGGAGCTCTGCCGGCTTCGGGCCACCGCCAGCCCCTGGATCCCGCCGGGGGATGGACGCGAGGCTGCGGGCGACCGGCCGGTCCAGATAGCCAGCCTCGGTGTCCACTCGCGGCGGCGTGCTGCCGACGATGCGGAAGGCGACCTGCGTCGGCTGCGCGGAAGGAGTGTGGCCCTGGGCAAGAGTGGCCTTTGGTGCGCGGCCTTTTTGAAGCCGCGGGGGGGCCAAACACAAGCGCGCAAGCCGCTGCTACCTCTTCGCTTTCGGCCATCTGGTGACCCACCTGTGGCCGCACCAAAGGTCACTCAAGCGAAAGGTCACTCTTATCGGCTACGCGCAAGAGCGGCACTGAGTAAGAGTGGCCTTAGGTGCGCGGCTTTTTGGGGGCCGCGGGGGGGGCCAAACTCAAGCGCGCAAGCCGCTGCTACCTTTTCGCTTTCAGCCATCTGGGGATCCATCTTTGCCCGCAACGAAGGTCATTCAGAAGAAAGGTCACTCGTATCGGCTACACGAAAGAGTGGCCCTGTGTAAGAGTGACCTTTTGTGCGAGGCTTTTTGGGGCCGCGGGAGGGGACAAAAACAAGCGCGCAAGCCGCTGCTAACTCTTCGCTTTCAGCCATCGGGGGGCCCATCTGTGCCCGCACCAAAAGTCACTCCGGGGAAAGGTCACTCTTATCGGCTACGCGCAAGAGTGGCCCTGGGTAAGAGTGACCTTCGGTGCGCGGCTTTTTGGGGAACCTTTGGTGCGGGCATAGATTGGTTCCCAGATGGCTGAACGCGAAAAGGTAGCAGCAGCTTGCGAGCTTGTGTGTTGGCCGCCCTTTGGCCCCAAGAAAGCCGCGAACCAAATGTCACTCTTACCCAGGGTCAATCTTGCGTGTAGCCGATAAGAGTGACCTTTTCCTGGAGTGGCCTGTGGTACGGGCAAGGATGGGTCCCCAGATGGCCGAAAGTGAAGAGGTAGCAGCGGCTTGCGGGCACGTGTTTGGCGCCCCCTCGGCCCCAAAAAGCCGCGCACCAAAAGTGATTCTTACCCAGGGTCACTCTTGATCCTGGTAGGAGTGACCTTTGGTGTGCGGCTTTCTGAGGGCGGCGCCAACACACTCACATGTGCGCAAGCCGCTGCTAGCTCTTCGCTTTCAGCCACCTGGGGGCCCACCTTTGCCCGTACCAACGGTCACTCCGGGGGAACGTCACTCTTATCGGATACACGCAAGAGTGGCCCTGGGTAAGAATGACATCTAATGAGCGGCTTGTTTGGGGGCCGCGGGGGGGGCAAACACAAGCGCGCAAACCGCTGCTACCTCTTCGCTTTCGGCCATGTGGGGAGCCATCAATGCCCGCACAAAAGGCCATTCCGGCAAAATCAGGGCAACGAAACATGCATGAAGATAACAACTCGGAGGTCCGCGCGGACTTCCTGGAGCCCCTGGCGCCGACCCAGGCATAGTCCGCGCGGTCCTCCGAGTCTTTCTGTTTCTGTCATTGCTCGTTCCCCTTAGCCGAGGGCCACTCCGGCTAAAGGCCACCCTTCTGCGGTGGGCGGCGAGGGGTCAGGTCGGGCCTGTCCCCCTACAGGGGGATTCTGGACGGAAAATCAAACATACCCCCAAAATACCCCAAAATGTCAAAACAAAGATTCCAAACATTGTCCCCAGACTATGTTTTGACTATTTGTGGACATTCCTCCTGTAGAGGGACAGGCCCGACTGCAGGCAGAGGGCGGGCCCGCGCCAGCGCACGGCGGTGGGCACGGCGGTGGGCGCCGGAGTCGCCCGACGTCGCGCCTCGGGCGTCGCGCTGCGCGGACCGCGCTTGCCCTCGCGCCCTCGTGCGGCCGCCCGCGGAGGGGAGCGCCTCGCCGCGAGGCTGGTCGAGACACGGGGCGAAGCGCGGTCATCGTTGCGCCCCACGTCGGGGGTTCCAAGGAGGCCCCGAAGGATGTGAGGCTCTGGGGTCATGCTGCTCCCCTCGCACTCGAGGACCGTACCCCACAAACAATCTCGATCACCCAGAAGAGCATCGAAACGGTGTCGAACGAGTATCGCCTCCCAGGGCCCAACACGTGAAAACCCTAAAGTTTCGGTACTTGTTTGGTGCTCGATGTTTTTCTCTCACGGCAAATCGTCGATGTACGCCTGAGGTAAAACATCCCGCTGATACGAAATCTTCTTAAAACGTAAAGCTAAAGTTCGGTTGGACAGATTCGAAATTCTTCCTGGCGAACAAGGCTAAAGTAGGCTGGAACAGCATAACCCTGAGGGCGAGTGGCCTGAAGCAGTGAAGGTTCCGCTCGGGGTCCCCTTCCTGCGTTACGTTCAGGGGCCCCGTCCCTCCGGGCTCCATCTCTGCACCGCCGACCCCCCGCGGGCTCGGGGCACGGAGCCGAGCAGCTGCTGCAGGGGGGTCCGGGGACCAGCCTGGGAGGTCCGGGCGGTGCTAGCAGTACCCCTGGCCCAAGGTGCCCCCAGCTCTTCGCTCCATTCTGGAGCCTCTGGGGCCCCCTGGAACTTGTGCGGGGTGCTCTGGAGGCCGCCTGGGGTACCCCTAGAATCCTGGGGGCACCCTGGCCCAGGGGCACTTCTAGCAGCACCCGAGAGGTGGTGCTCGGGATCGGCGCCGGGCGCGGACACGAGGCCCAGGAGGCGCTCGTGGTCGTGGGGGGGGGGGGTTCGGCCAGGCACGGGCACAGGGGATGGCATCCCGACCTGCGCCCGCTGCTTGCTCCAGGGCCCGTGCAGGTCCGGCTTCCAGGAGGAGAGAAGGCTCCCGCAGCGGGGGCTGTGGGCCGTGGGCCCCCCCCACGCACGCACAGCGCCAGCACGACTGGATCGTCCGCGCGCGCGAGAGAGAGAGAGAGAGAAAAAAAAAACACCTCCACATCGGCATCGTTCGGAGGGACGAGAGCGGAGAGCACGAGGGCTTTTTCTGGCCCCTCTGGAGCCCCAGATCTGGCCGAAGACCGCCGCGATCCCTCAAGGGAAACGGGCCCCCAGCATCTCGACGATGCCGGGGCTCGTTCCCATGTGCAGATCGCCCGGGCATCGCCGTTGCGTCGAACCGTGCCTCGCTAGCAAGACTCCCCTAGCGCTGCCACTCCCAAGAGGCACCCTTCCCTCTAGTACCCAATCGCGGTGGGAAGGCGCCTACTGCCACAGAATGGAGACCCCCCCAAACAACATCGACGCTTGTCCCGACGCTCCCTCTACGTGAACAAACAATGTCGGCGCCGCTACGCCCCACTCGCCATAAATCATGCTGGTGGCTTCACGCCACTCCGTGCCATGTGCACCGCATGTGAACTGTATCCATCGCGGGCGATTCGTCTTGCCCACGAGGGACAACTCAGTTTGTGTATTCGTGGCCGTCCCAAACACACGTCAGGGCAGACGACCCCACACTAAGCACAGCTCACGCACGGTACCAACTCAAGCCGTGGCAACAAGCACCGCACGAATACCAATCAATGACCTCAACCCCTGTGCAGTCAATTTCCAGCACATTGCCGAGCTCCCATATGTTGGCTTCGGTATCGGATGAGCTGGCGCAGCGAAAACACTGTTGCAAAGAATGAGCGTGATTCCCGGCCCGATGTCTCATATGGGAAGTCTCGCCAGCCCACCGGAACCAGCTCCTGCTCCTCTTTGCTTTCCAGCCTTTGCATCGGCGCGGGCCTGACATATGTTGACGCCTTTGAATGGAGCCTCCAGCATGGCCATCTCGTGCGTCATGACTCCAAGACTCCAGACATCTGTCGTAAAGGAATAAGGCTCCTGCGGCCGCCATGATGTGCCCTGTGCCCATGTGTGTACTATATCATCCACCATGTCTGTGTAGTGGCAAAACAGAACGTCAATTCTTCACCACCCCACGTCACTGGATTGTGAATTCAAGATGCGCGCATGCGAGAACGACTAGAGGCGACACCAACAAGATGAAGCACCTACACCAACACTATACTGCATTAAGTACACTAGCGCCAACAACATCTACCATCGAGTGTGTACACACGCGTATGCATACGTTTGATACCATACGCTGACGTGTTCGTTATGGTGCAGAGCCTCACATTATGGTTCACTCGGCAATGTGTTCTCTGGTATTTGAAACACACACGAGCATCTACACACCGACCTGTGTGAGACAACACAATAATGTACATACGCAAGTGCGTATGACTAGTCATCTTCGTGCAGGCAGGTGTACATGAATGACGTGTACCGCTGGAGGGCTCAATGCAATGCAACACGTGCGCCGCATGCGCATTTGCACCCATGTATGTATGATTGGCGCATGCACGCGCACGGCATATGATCAGAGTGAGGGGGCCGAACGGTCATTCATTGTCCCTGGATGCGTGGCTGAATAAGGAAGTCGTGGTGAGAATTCCGCTTTTTGCGCTGTTGTTGTTTGTTGTCGTCGTCCCACCCCGCGACCCACCCCACGACCCACCCTCGACCCATCCGCGACCCACCGCGATCCACCGCATGACCCACCCGCGAGCCACCCCGCGACCCATCCGCGACCCACCCGCGATCCACCGCATGACCCACCCGCGAGCCCACCCCGCGACCCATCCGCGACCCACGCGACCCACCACGACCCACCCTCAAGGGAGAAAAACAGCCGGACCCGGAGATTGACTTTTACTAAACGGCTATGGGCGTTGACTAAACAGCCCTGCCCTGTTCGATTCATTCCTTGTGTGCGTTGACTGAACGGCTTCGCTTGTCGGGGTGATTCTTATGGGGTGGATGTTCTGCCCTCTACACCCGCGACCCGCCCGCGACCCATCCGCGACCCACCCACGACCCACCCCGCGACCCACCCTCAAGGAAGAAAAACCAGCCAGACCCGACGATTGACTTTTACTAAACGGCTATGGGCGTGGACTAAACAGCCCTGCCCTGTTCGATGCATTCCTTGTGTGCGTTAACTGAACGGCTTCGCTTTCGGGGTGATTCTTATGGGGTGGATGTTCTGCCCTCTACACCCGCGACCCACCCGCGACCCAACGACGACCCACCCGCGACCCATTTGCAACCCTCCTGCGACCCACCTGCGACCTACCCAGATTGGTTTAACGAACAAATCAGCGCCTGCGGCGGGCTCGTTGCATCATTTGTGATTGGCGCCTGCGGCGGACTCCTCCAGAGTCTCGCAAACTGCCGACGTCCCTACCGCCCCCTATCACTCTTCTCCGCACCTGCGGGGTGCTGAGCATGAACGTACTCCTCAAATGGTGCTTGCACTGGGGGGGTCTCACCTTCCCAGACCCCCGACGTCGTGATTTTTTGCGCAACGTCGACCCCCAGAGGTCTGGACCCCTTCCCCGGGACTGGTTCTTCGTCCCGAGTCGTTTTCTGACGCTCCCGAGGCCTGGTGAGGGCCCCCGGAGGCCGAAAACAGCGAAAAACCTCCTGTCGTGATTTTTTCACGACGGGAGGGGGTCCCACCTTCCTCACAACAAGAGTTCGATGGGTCAACCAGCGCTCCGCCCGGTGCCCGGACTGGTGCGCTGGCACCACGAAGGACGCTCCGTCCCCTGGGCGGGTCTGCCGAGGTTTCTCGCCCACTGCCCGCCCGTGCGAGCCTCGCTGACGACCCGCGCGCGGGGTACGCCAGCCGAGGCATCGCCCTCCCCCCCTCCTCCTCCTCCTCCTCCTCCTCCTCCTCCTCCTCCTCCTCCTCCTCCTCCTCCTCCTCCTCCCTCCTCCTCCTCCTCCTCCTCCTCCTCCTCCTCCTCCTCCTCCTCCTCCTCCTCCTCCAGTCGAGGCATCGCCGGGCGCCCCACACTTACTAAGACGAGGCCAAGGCGAGGACAGCATCGAGCGAAGGTATAAACCCAGCATCTCGATGATGCTCTGGAAGACGCATCGGGCGTCGCGGCCTTCTCAGAGCCTTCCGCAACGCTCTGGGAGCGTTCCAGAACGCCCCGCGAGTGGCCCCGTTCGAGCTACCCTAGCCCCGTTCGGAGGAGGAGGAGGGAGGAGGAGGGAGGAGGGAGGAGGAGGAGGAGGAGGAAAGGAGGAGGAAAGGAGGAGGAGTAAAGGAGGAGGAGGAGGAAAGGAGGAGGAGGAGGAGGAGGAGGAGGATTTGTCCTCGTCCCAGCCCCGGTCGAGTTACCGCCCGTGGGCGCCTCGTGGTCGCCCTGGTCGCCTTGGTGGGCCTGTGGAAAAAAATGGTCGCCCGGTGCCTGCCCGTGCGCGGCTCCATGGGCGGCCGCCCGTGGGCGCCCCGGGGGCGCCCGCAGACGTTGCACCACAGAATGGTTTCACAGCGTGCCGTCGGGCCTACAGGGCAGTTTTTAATACATACAACCCTCGTCAAAAATAAACTGAGGGATTCTGTTTTCGGTGATGGTATGGATTCTGTTTTCGGTGATTGTATGGTCAGCGCTACTCCAATGCTGACGCTAGAAATCTGACGCGGACGCAAGGGCTTCAAAAATCCGACGACCCCTCCGCAGCATTGAAGAACACAGTTTCTATCAAGTGCCCGAGAAGATCGATCGTCGTGATGTCCAACTGCGTTTCTGGTTATTTATGACGAGGCTTGTAGGATGTTTTAAACTATATGATTTTCATACTGACAAAGTATGAACATATTTATGCATGGACTCATCGTTGTTTTTAGATGCTAAATCCCTGCATTCTTGATACATGATCCGCACGCGGAGCATGTATCAAACATGGCACTGTAGGGCCGAAGACACCCTTCAAGAACATGGGGCCCTCCGCCGGCCCGAGACACGCCGAACCTTAAGCCTGAAGATCATATGAGAGCACAGGTGCACAAGACGCTTTGACAGACACGAAGAGCATCAGGGCACCCTCCCCGAACCGACCGCGATCTTGCACCTGGGCCCGGCTGTAGATTACAACAGACACACGCGAGAATAAACGTCGCTAGAACACACATTGGGACACACTCGCCGTCGATATTCCGGTCCCAAGGTGACCCAGAACTTCTGAAGATCCCGGGGGCCATCGTGGGATAAAGGATGAGTGGGGAACGTGCTGTCAGGCCGATCTCTGATTCGATGTGCCTACTGTACACCAGATAGCGTGCACCGCATAGCTCACACCGCATAGCTTGCACCGCGCAGCTTGCAACACATTGCTCGTACCGCACAGCCTACGCCACATCACGTGGCTTGCGCCGCATATTTTACATCGAACGGCTTACGCCATGTAGCTCGCACCGCTTTGCCTGCACCGCATAGCCTTCACCGCTTATATCCCCGACCGTGCCGCTGGGCACGGAGTGGGCGTGTCCTCAGGACCTTTTGGGGGGCGGAAAGGATAGGATACGTGTTGTCCCCGGACCTCTCTTGGGGTGCGTTCTGACCAGAATTTCGAGGCGCATCCAGCGGTGACAACGAGGACTCCCCAGGAGGGCCAGGAAAGGCCGAAAACGAAGGGGGACAACACGTATCCGTATCTTTTTCTCCCCCGAGAGCGGGCGTGTCCTCAGGACCTTTGCCCAATCCCTTGACCCTCCGTCCCCCGCCCGACGGGCCTGGTGGGCCCGGAGCCCAAATTTTACCAACACTCCCGGGGGGCTTCCCGCGGCTATGTGCCGCGCCTCCGTCGGGCCCGCGAGGGCCCCAAAACGCGGACCCAGACGAGGAGGCCGCTGCTTGCGCCCGCCGAGGCTCGGGAGCGGCAAAGGGGGGGTGTCCAAGAGGGGGGGGTGCAAATCAGGACCGGCGGCATGTGCGCGGCCCAGCGGGGGCGCCAGGGACGTAACGAAACAAGAGGAGGCGCCATGAAATCTGGGTAGATCTCATGGCCCCCGCCATGATATTCACCCCCCCTAGTCATCACCCCCCTCTTTTCCGCCCCCGAGAGGCGACCCCCCTGAGCAAGGCAAGCGGCGGTCGGGACCGCCGCGGGGAGAGCCGCAACACGGCGGTGGGGCCAGGATGCCTAGGCGGACGAAGAGAGGGACGGCCGTGGCACAGCGGCTAAGGGCGGCAGCGCAGCAGCGCAGCGGCGACGCTGCTGCAGCGAGCGACGGGGACACATCGGCACGACACTCGGCAGCAGTGGGGCAGCGGCTCTGGACGCAGTGGGGCGCTGACATGGAGCTGGGCGACGCAAGGGGGGCAGGGGCGCGGAGGGGCCGGAGCAACAGACCGTGATCGGGTTGCAGATCACGGAGGAGTCGGCAGGCGCACGCAAAAAAGGTGCGGTATACGGGCATGCGCAAGCGGACGTCGCCCGGACTTGATGGGCGAAAACGGAGTGGCGGGGTACATGGTGCACGTATATGAGAAGAAGAGCACGCACAGGTAGCTACCAATATCCAGGGACGAACCGGCGGGGTCGTGGGCTGAGTGGCCAGCGCCCTTACAGGCGTGACCAAATGCACGCGCGCGAACGTAAGCACGCGGAAGCACGGGCATGCATTTGTGAATCAGAATAAAAGCTGTTAGTGTGTGCAGACCCGTGCAAAATGAACAAATCATTGTTATGATCCTTTTCTGGGGCTTCGGACCGGAACGAGACGAAACGGCGAAACAACAAAGATTCAAACAGCTTGAATCATTCCGAAATGTTGACCCCTCGGGGGCATCCAGAAGAAGCCCGCAGTGGCTCACGCCGCTCGTCGTCAAAAGGCAGCGGACCGCGAGGGGGAAAGAGCGGTCGCAGGCGACCAGCTCTGGCCCCCCTTCTGCGGCGGGGAGAACCCGCGAGGCTGGCTGGCCAGGGCGGGCCATGGTCAAGTAGGGGGCTTTGGCCATAAAGTCACAGTGCAACTCCACAGC